TTCCCTAATATCTTTGTTGATCTTCCCAATTGCATGTAAAGTTTAACGGGGGCGGGAGTTTAATATTCCCTAATACCGTTTTTGTTTTTCCCATAGGAATTTCGGGTGTTTTGACTTTTAATTTTCACGATTTGAGAGTTTAAAATCTGCTATTACCTTTGTTGTTTTTTCCATGAATTGCAGGTGTTATGCCGTTTCTGTTTTTCCCATAGGAATTTCGGGTGTTGTGACCTTGTTTGTTTGATAGTCTCTAGTACCTGTGTTTGTTTTCCCATAGGAATTACAGTAATTTGCAACATCATTTGTTCGTGAATGTGACATATATACGCTGCAACGCCTGGGCAGAACCCAGGCGTTGCGCGTATATATATATATGTATATGTGTGTATATATATATATATATATGTATGTATATATGTATGTATATATATATATACGTATTATGTGTATATATGTATATATATACATATGTATATATATATGCATATATATATATACGATTACATACAATCTGATCCCAGACATATATGTATATTATTGTATCTTATCCCCCTGGATGCCGCAATTCTTCACCAAATTTCATCCGCAAATATAAAAATGAGTGGGAAAAAGTAGTACTAGTAGTAATAATCTTCAAAATATCAAGAATTCTCCTTAAAATAAGTTAATGGATTTATTGAATGATATTCATCCAATTAGTGACAATTAAGCTAAATGAAGCTATAATCATCTCCAACATCTGGGCGGTCACCTTCTTCGCCTTGGACGTCGCATCCTCTACAGCTCCAGAGATCCTTGGTGGCTAAAAAATCTCAGTTTTCATGTGCATCCCACTTCATCACTGGCGAATGGGCCTTAGAACATAAGCCTTCTGGGTTTGCCTCAAAATGATGTATATCCCCAAAATGGACCAATTTTCACGAGGAAAACAAGATGATTCAAGCCAGCAAAATCTTCAATACCCTGCAAACCTGACCTAATCTTTGGCTGGTTAGTTGGTGACGCCGTGACCGGTGGCCTGTGTGTTTTGGGTCATTTTTGTCATTTATATGGGGTGGGGTGGGGTGGGGTGGGGTGGGGTGGGGGGATGTATTGACGTCCTGACGACCACGTCCTTGATACTACGTTGACAACATGTATTGACGTCCTGACGACCACGTGTTAAACTAACTTGGAAGACGCTCTTGATACTACGTTGTTAACATGTTGAAGTAACTTGGAAGACGCTCTTGATATTACGTTGTTAGCATGTTGAAGTAACTTGGAAGACGGAAGACGCTCATGATACTATGTTGTTAACATGTTGAAGTAACTTGAAAGACGCTCTTGATACTGGATACTACGTTGTTAACATGTTGAAGTAACTTGGAAGACGCTTTTGATACTACGTTGTTAACATGTTGAAGTAACTTGTGTATGTATATATATATATATATGGTGTGGGGGGGGCTGAGGAAGGGTTACCAGGCCACGGTGTTAGTGACATATTTAAGTGGATTTGTTTTGTTTGGTTGTAAACTTGATGTTCAAATGCTTGATTTTGTCCTTTCTTCGTGGTTCTCGTGTTGGTGGAAAGGGTTGAAACACCAGAAACTCTTTCTGTTTGCTTACACCAATGGCTGTGGCGTCGCAATAAGAACGTGAACGAAAAGTTCACACCGGACCAAATGTGTAAAGAGATGGGAAAGCTCTGCAAGTGGCGTCCTTGAATGAAAAAAAGGCGCTGACACCCACAGGCCACCCGTCACGGCGTGACTAGTTCAAAAATCTTCAATACCCTGCAAACCTGACATAATCTTTAGCTGGTTAGTTTCATATATTTCCATCAACAGGTCACAAAAAAAAAAACTGCTTTTTGGTGACATATCCCTGTAAAGTATCACTATTTTTTGTTGATTACCATCTGGTAATCTAACATAGGTATTTTTAACACCATTTGCAATAAGTACATCATCTGCAAACGGGCAATGTTTATCCATTTTCCATAGCTGTACTTACCAGAGGATACCCTGATACCCTCCTGTAAACAAATATGGATGTGGAAAACCCGCAATTTGTGGATAATTTGCCTCGGGACACCGTGGGTAAACTCCACATCTATCTGATATCTTAGTTTACCCATTAATTTAGGTACACATCATATATCCAATGAAATAGTCCCATACAAATGCTTGGGTTCCCCCAACTCCATGAAGTTCCATTGAAACCCATCTGTTTACCCTAGGGTATACATATTACTCATCAAATCTAGGTAATCTAAGTGATTATTGGTAATGAAGGAATGGATCAAGTTCATGAATGTGGGTAAAACAAAAAAAAAAAACATCCCCCAGTCATTACCATATTTTTATAGGTGGTATGTTTACCATTCCCAGTCATGTGGTGGTTTATGATAGTTTTACGCACAAAAACCCCATACCAGAGGAGAAATCCCTCATTTTTCCACCTCAAAGGTCAGCTCGGTGTCCCAACAGCTCGGGTGCGCCCTTGACCTCCTGAACCATGCGCTTAGTGTCCTGCGACCATGGAAAAAAGATTAGAAAATCTCTGATAAATGGATTTTATTTTAATGGGAAAATCCTCAAAAAACCATGGCTGATTGCCCATTGCCATGTTCGATGCCGTAGGAAAAGCCCAAGATGCATGGTGATCTCCACCGTAACGACAGGATGACACGAATCTTCGGACATGACATGAATTGTGACGTATCTTCTGAAACTATTACCCTCTGGTAAACTAACATAGCAATGGAAAATCACTATTTTTTATGGGAAAATCAACTATAAATGGCCATTTTCAATAGCTATGTTAAATTACCAGAGGATAGATTCACACATTCATTCGGACATTTGTCCTGGCATCAATTTTGACATTTGTCTGACATGTAGCCTGACTTTTATTCATACATACATTCTGACGTCTATTTGGGCATTTCCTGAAATGGGGGGTAGCTCCATTTATAGATGGGATTTTCCATGAAATAAACCATCCAGCTATTGGCAATATTGGGGTATTCCCATTTCTGGAAGCCCCCATTTTGACCTTTGTTCAATACGCGGCCGGCAACTCCTCTTCGGCCTCCTCAATCTTCTGTGTCACACCTGACATGACGATCCCTGGGTGTCGACCGATTGTCGAGGAGACGCGGAGATACGGTGACCTATTAAAACTGTTATGACTGGACAAAATATTTCTTCCCGATAGAAATGGGCCATTTTGAAGGTATTCAAACTGCTGACGAGTGCTGAAAAAAATGGGTAAGATGATATGCACATTATCCTGGAGATGTGAATCGGCCAGAAGCTTGTGGTGCTTCTCATATTATGACAGGGCCAGCTATTCAAAATATCTCCAAATATCTCCAAAATCAATCATATTTTTTCGGAACTATCACTGATCTGCTTGGAAAACAATACGTAGATCCAACTGGCTCCCCACTTGACAGCCACAGAAATCCAGTGACAATTGAACCATGGCAGTGGCATCAAAGGGTCCGTCCAGCCCGGGCCTTTCTTCAGCCATTCCGCAGTGACCCCTGGACCTCTTGTGGCCGAAGAATGATCTGAGGAGAATCTATTCGAAAATGGTCAAACATGGTCAAATGTCTGGGAAAAAAAGAAACTCTTGATCCTGTCGAAAATGGAAGTTTCCTCCTCTCCAGCCTCTTCATACTAGTTTTTTGGAGGTTACCTCCCTCGCGAAGGTGCACTGATGATGTTTGCACTTATGACTGGGCTGAGGATCACCCCATGGCTTCATATGACCCTGCTTGTCAATTATGTATGATATATATATATATGTATACATATTTATATATATATATATAATTATATAATTATATATAGTGTGTGTGTGTATGTAATTATGGGAATTAATATCTATAATATATATATATATATATACATCTACGTTTATGTGTATATAGAATATGTTGTATGTTTGTATTGCATACATCACCTACAGCTCGTCATTGGAAGTGATTTCAGTTTATTTGACCCCACAGTGTCCAAAGGAATCTGCACAACTGCTGAGAAAGTCAAGCTTCATCATGGCCATGTTGAGTGTCAATCGCCCTTGGACCTTGGACGTATCATACAGGTCGCCAACCCCATCAGATCCAAGCTGCTTTGTTGGACGGTTTGTTTGGCCTTGGCTCGTTCGGAGGGTCCAATTGCAGTCAGTTGGCAGTTGGCTTACTGGCAGTATAACCTAGCTATGGAAAATGGTCCAATTGTAGATGATTTACCTTTTCAAAATGATGAATGTCCATAGCTATGTTAGGCTGTTATATATAGATGTCCAGAGGGCAAGGGAAAAGCCTTCCCCATGTATTTTTGGTGCTTTCCTGCTGAGGGGGGTTCCCCAAAAAAGATTCCGGAGAATCGAAGTGTCCCACAATTGTTGGCTGGTTATATTTTTCTTCCACCCTAAATCACCAAACTGGTAAGAAGATCATGCTTTCCAGTATTCAAACCGGAAAAGATCAGAAAAGTTGGTATCAGTATCGGTCAAAATGGATCTCAACCCATGTTGACCTACAGTTTTTGGTCATCGTTGCACTTGACCCTTCAGATGTCGCCCTGCCAACCCAAAATGGGGTACCAATGGATCCCATAAATTCCTTCTGGTAGCCCCAAAGATAGACATTGTGACTATGAGATTAGTTTGGATTTTATACAAGCTGGTGCCCCCTCCAGTTAGTTGTTGTATAAGTAACTCTAGATATATCTACAAACTGTAGTTTTTGTAGTATGGGGCACTTTGTACCAACCAACTTCTTGTGTCATTTCGAGCCATCCTCAGATATCGCAAGGTCTTTACGGCTGCACACCAGTGGGTCACTTCGAGCCAAGGTCGCTTCTGGCATTGGCCCTCGGGAAGGTAGCCCAGGTTGCAAAAAAAAAACTGCTGGACATTGTCCTCTTCAGGGACGTCTCAAAACTTTGGGCACAGTGATGACGGTTTCCTTTTATTGACAGCGTTGATACTCTTGTTTTCAAGTTTGGATACAAATCCGGTGAGCTACTTCCACTTGCACGAATTTCACCAGCCTCTTCAGGCAGAATGGTGGCACTTCCCCGTCCCTGTACGACAGATTTTCCACCAGGCAGAAATCACGACACTTGCGTGTTTAAGCTGCGCTTTCGCAACCTGCGCGAAAGCTGCAGTGCTTAATTAGCCAATCAGACGCATACCTGGGCAGCTGGATCTCTGGGATTTCGGTGTCCAATCAAAAATTATGCAAGTGGTTCTCAGCTCCCAAAAAAACCTGGTGTAAACGCACTCAATCATCCTCAACCTCAATTTGTTCCTCGAAAAAGACTTCCCATCCTCAGAAAACATCTAAGTCTAGGGACTGATGATGAGCCCAGGCATTGCGAGGTGAAGATGTTGCCGGTCTCCACTGTGTTCTTCCTGGCAATCCATGGATTGAATATATCATATGTATGTATGTATGTATGTATGTATGTATGTATGTATGTATGTATGTATGTATGTATGTATGTATGTATGTATGTATGTATGGATGCATGGATGCATGGATGCATGGATGCATGGATGCATGGATGCATGGATGCATGGATGGATGGATGGATGGATGGATGCATGCATGTATGTATGTATGTATGTATGCATGTATGCATGGATGGATGGATGGATGCATGTATGTATGTATGTATGTATGTATATATAGTGTATATATAGTGTATATATAGTGTATGATATAATTATATAGTATACCCAATATATTGCTATTTGAAGGGAGAAATATGATCATGGACTCCATCCAATTTGGGGGGTACCCGGTATGTATTTAACAATGTTCATCCATGGTGAGATCAAATCCAGCCATAGTTCCATAGTCTGGTTGGTGGTTTCAACCCCTCTGAAAAATATTAACTAGTTGGGATTATTCTTCCCAAATATATGGAAAGTCATAAAAATCATGTTCCAAACCACCAACCAGGTACTGTATATCTTGGTTGTGGAATATTGGATTATCCCATATATTATGGAAAATAAAATTCATGTTCCAAACCACCAACCAGCATAGTTTTGTAAGTGAGATGTCGGAAATACATCCGTCATCATCTGACAAGAGAGAAAACAACGGATTGAAGGTGCAATTTCACCGATGATATCTAACTGAATGATGATCGCTTCTAGAACAAAAATGAAGGTCTAAGGCTTATGTTCATCTCAGCCAGCCAGGGACTGGAAATCATGTTTTTTTTATTTTTTCATTTTTTTGTCATTTTGATTATCATTTTTTTGGATTGAAAATTATCACTCCCCCCTATCCCCGTTAAGTTTTTTCATTATTTTTTCATTCCTGTTTTTCCTCCCTTTGGCATTTTCATGTTTCTTTCCTCTGCTTCGAAAATGGTCCTTGGTCCTTGGGAATTGCCACCAGGGACTTTTTCTGGAACCCTTTTCGTTTCTTTTCATTTTGTTTCGTTTCTGTATTGTTTTGGTTATTTTTCCTTCCTTTGCCTTGAAAATTGTCCTTGGAAATTATCAAAAGGAGTTTTTTCTCGAACCCTTTTCGTTTTTTTTTCGTTTTTGTATCGTTTTGGCTATGGTTCCTTCCTTTGCCTTGAAAATTGACCTTGGAGATTGTCAAAAAACGCTTTTCTCAAACCCTTTTCGTTGTTTTTCCGTCTTTTTCCGTTTTGGCTATTTTTCCTCCTTTGCCTTCAAAATTGACCTTGGAAATTGTCAAAAGGGTCAAAAGGAGTTTTTCCCGTTTTTTTTCGTTTCCTTTTTCATTTTCGTTGTTTTTCGTTTTTTTTGTCGTTTCCTTTTTCATGTTCGTTTTCATTTTCGTTTTTTTTTCGTGTTTTTTTTGTCTTCTTTTTTCGTTTTTCGTACATGATGGCAAAATGTAAAAGGGAACAGGTATGAACATGATAATATTAACTGCACATGAGGGAAACACGATAAACATTTTTTTCACATAATTGGAGAATGAAAAAAATAAAATGATAATTTCACATGATCGGAGAATGATATGAAACAGGAAAAAAACATGAAAAACAAAACGAAAAAAATGAAAAAAATAATTCCTTGGTCCGGACTCAGTCTGTGGCTGTAAGATTCTCATAAGTCTAAGCAACCCAAAGCCGGTGTATCATCCTGTCATCTTAATATTGGATGTGGCAAATTCGTTTCTCACAAAAATTCCCCGAGGGCCAAAGAACCAGCATGGAAAAGCCCTGAACACTCGCCAGAGACAGCTAGCCGGCCAGCCAGCCATATGAGTTTGTCTGAAAACGGGATGCCCCTGATGGATGATGTGACTGTTCCCACTAACCTCACAATTTTACGATTTCACATGTTCATCCATGTCCCCCATTGGACCAACGATTCCGTGCCAAAAACTCAACAAAAAGCTGCAAAACCTTGGTGTTTCACCCCACCATTCGTGAGTTGCTTATAGCTTACCCACACCCTCCGGTCAAACATGGCTGCAAAATCACCCACTTAACGAAGGTTGATCCGAAATTCGGAGGTCAAAGATTTCTCCAAGGCTCCATTGAAAAAGACCCAATTTCCCATAGGGGTTCCCATAGTTTGCGCATAGATCTTCCCATTCAGATCTCCATAGAATTTTCCAGGATTTCCATGGATTTCCCCCAATGGCACAATGGCACAATGGCACTTCATGGGGGCCTAAGGAGCTCGGCGCCCTGAGCCACCCTCGTCTTGGTCTGCTTGTATCCATCCTGGGGATATCCCGGTTGGGGGTTCATGGGAAAGTGATCTACTTTGGACCATGAAGTTAGATGAAGTTAGTAGGTGGGTAAACTCCACATCTATGTTAGGAGGGTACCCTCTGGTAATCAAATTTCATGAGATTTCATATGGGAAAGTAACTTAAGGGATTATACAAGTTCGATCTAACATGGGAATATTGTGGGTAGATAACCAATAATGATCCGGTGATTTAGCAGTTTGCTATGGAAAATGGCCCATGGAAGTAGATGGTTTACCTACCAAAAATGGTGGTGTTCAATCGTAAACTGCTTGACTACCAGAGGTTATACGGAAAATTGGGAAATCGAATTAAAAAAAACTTTACAAACAGCCGCTTTTTCATATAGAAGTTATATATTATAGTTTATTGGAGGCTACAAATGAAGAGGAGCCTGAGATTGTCCCATGATATCAGGCGTTGCTACGTTGTGAAATCCCCTCTGGTTCTGATGATCTTCCGATTGTTTGTCTCGTCCTATTCCGACATCATCTACCAGTCATTTTTGTTGATACCCTCCAATAACCAAACATGGCCATGGAAAATTCTCCATTTATAGATTTCCCATTAACACCTACATTTATAGGAGATTTCCGATTGCCACCTTTACCAACAGGTCTTTGTCAGCTAAAAAACGTGACGTTCCATGCCCAACACTCTGTCATCCCCGGATCGCTTGGCTCATGTAGGTTCCCGTGATGGAATTGATAGTTCCCATTGAACCAATTCATAAAATCCTAACTTCCCATCACCCAACCGTGATCTCAACGAATTTGTGCTGTCCTAATCCTTCATGAGATGCTTCCCAAAAAAAAAACGCCATACTTTGGTGACAAATCCTTCCCTTTTTGCCTACTCTTCGGGGTAAATCCCTATGATTCCAATATCCTAGTAGTAATTCCTTCCATGTTTGGTTTTGTCTGCAAATAGGGAATCCCATTCCCCATTCTTTGATGGTTAAGCATCATTTTCCCCAATTTCAGTTGCATTTTTGAGATGTTTTCTATTTTCAGGCCCATGTACGACAAACCCAAATCTTCCATCAGTACGTTTAAAAAAAAAAAACGTATATTGTTGGTTATATCCCCCACTCTCAAACCCGAATCTCATACATTGTTTGTTATACATCTCATTATAATCCAAGTATATTGCCATCGTATTGCCAGTATATTGCCATCACAATCTCGATTCCATGTATATACATATATGAATATATATATATATATATACATATAATTGTTCCAAGGTAGATAGAATATGGAAATTTCAAACCTCACTATGTTTCAAGAATCCATATATTCTATCTTCTCCAGGATATTTCAGTGACATAGTGAGGTTCTGTGAGGTAAGTATATGCAACATGAAATATTGTCAGTATGATCTTTTGGGGGTTCCCGTGGCAATCCGTGAATCCGTGGATTCGGCATGAAAATTATATCCCCTGAGTTGATCCATATGATTCATTACAACAACAACAACAACAACAACAACGACAACGACAACAACGACAACAACAATTGGTTTTCCCATCTTCATATTAGACTTAAATGTATTCCAAAAAAAGAATATGATGTTTTAGTTTTGCTCACCATGTATGTCCAATTGTCATCCATTGTCTACATTCCATTTATTTCACACAATTGTGCAACTATTATTTATATCCCATTACTACCCATTGACTAACCAAATTATTTATATCCCATTACTTCCCATTATCCCATTATTATCCACAAAATAGATCATCTATTATCTATCATCATTATATCCCATTATTCCCATCTATTATCCCATTATTATCCACAAATAGATTTCCCATTATTATTATAGAAAACCAATCATGCAGCACTAAAAAAAGGCTCCTGGATCTGCAGCAGCAACGCCGCATCCTCCTCCGCCGGTGTCATCAGCGGCGGCTTAGGAAGTTCCTCGTGCGCCGTGGGACGACCGGTTTGAACAGCCGGTGCCATGATGTGGCCTGGAAACTTCCAGGAACCATGGAAAATACCCTCTGGTAATTTAACATAGCTATAGAAAATCACCATTTTTAATAGGTAAACCATCTATAAATGGGCCATTTTCCATAGCTATGTTAGTTTACCAGAGGGTATGTGAGAAAATATGGAGAACTCTTGGAGAGAAGATGGAAAAAAAATCATGGAACTTGTGAAAAACATATGGGAACTATGTAGGAACATCTATTGGAAAATCTATAAAAAATGAAAGTGTGTGGAAAAGCCATCAGCAAATTGGATTGTGGAGTTCAAGAAAAATTATAAAAATGGTTGCAGCTGGTTGAATTAGAAACTCGTAGTTATTCTGTGGGTATCCACAGTTGTTGCAGTTATTGGGCTGGGAATCAAAACACACCCGAGCCCTGATTTGCATCAAAATTGGCAGCATGGTCCAACATCTTCAAAAGTGCAGTTGTTCAACGTCAGAAATGGCAGAAGTAGCAAAAAAAACGAATAAAAAGTGGGAAAATGTGAAGATGACATTTTTTGGAGGGATTGTGAATGGGATTTCATAGGGATTTACCCATGATTTCACCATCAACGACCGTATGACTTCTGGTGATTTCTAGTGGACCGAAAACATGACCGAAATGTTTCGAAATGCCCATTTCGCCCAGTCGAAAACATCCTTGTCATCTTCCCAGGTCTCAAGGAGCATCTTGTACAGAGTAGCCTTTGCTTCATAGGCCTCCCAGATCGACTCCAGATAGATAGATAGACATAGATAGATAAGATCGATAAGATAGATAAGATAGATAAGATCGATAAGATCGATAAGATCGATAAGATAGATAAGATAGATAAGATAGATAAGATAGATAAGATAGATAAGATCGATAAGATCGATAAGATAGATAAGATAGATACGATAGATAAGATAGATAAGATCGATAAGATGGATAAGATCGATAAGATGGATAAGATAGATAAGATCGATAAGATAGATAAGATAGATAAGATCGATAAGATGGATAAGATGGATAAGATCGATAAGATCGATAAGATCGATAAGATCGATAAGATAGATAAGATCGATAAGATCGATAAGATCGATAAGATAGATAAGATAGATAAGATAGATAAGATCGATAAGATCGATAAGATAGATAAGATAGATAGGATAGATAAGATCGATAAGATCGATAAGATAGATTAGATAGATAAGATAGATAAGATCGATAAGATCGATAAGATAGATAAGATAGATAAGATAGATAAGATCGATAAGATCGATAAGATCGATAAGATAGATAAGATAGATAAGATCGATAAGATGGATAAGATCGATAAGATAGATAAGATAGAAAAGATAGATAAGATGGATAAGATCGATAAGATCGATAAGATAGATAAGATGAATAAGATCGATAAGATAGATAAGATAGATAAGATAGATAAGATCGATAAGATCGATAAGATAGATAAGATAGATAAGATAGATAAGATCGATAAGATCGATAAGATCGATAAGATCGATAAGATAGATAAGATAGATAAGATCGATAAGATAGATAAGATCGATAAGATCGATAAGATCGATAAGATGGATAAGATAGATAAGATCGATAAGATGGATAAGATCGATAAGATCGATAAGATGGATTAGATCGATAAGATCGATAAGATCGATAAGATCGATAAGATAGATAAGATCGATAAGATGGATAAGATAGATAAGATCGAAAGATCGATAAGATCGATAAGATCGATAAGATCGATAAGATCGATAAGATGGATTAGATCGATAAGATCGATAAGATCGATAAGATCGATAAGATCGATAAGATCGATAAGATAGATAAGATAGACAAGATGGATAAGATAGATAAGATCGATAAGATCGATAAGATCGATAAGATCGATAAGATGGATAAGATCGATAAGATGGATAAGATCGATAAGATCGATAAGATCGATAAGATAGATAAGATAGATAAGATAGACAAGATGGATAAGATGGATAAGATCGATAAGATCGATAAGATCGATAAGATCGATAAGATCGATAAGATGAATAAGATCGATAAGATATCTAAGATAGATAAGATAGATAAGATAGATAAGATCAATAAGATAGATAAGATCGATAAGATAGATAAGATAGATAAGATAGATAAGATAAATAAGATCGATAAGATGGATAAGATAGATAAGATCGATAAGATCGATAAGATAGATAAGATAGATAAGATCGATAAGATCGATAAGATGGATAAGATGGATGAGATAGATAAGATAGATAAGATAGATAAGATAGATAAGATGGATAAGATGGATAAGATGGATAAGATGGATAAGATAGATAAGATCGATAAGATCGATAAGATAGATAAGATAGATAAGATAGATAAGATAGATAAGATCGATAAGATCGATAAGATCGATAAGATGGATAAGATGGATAAGATAGATAAGATAGATAAGACAGATAAGAACGATAAGATCGATAAGATCGATAAGATGGATAAGATGGATAAGATAGATAAGATCAATAAGATAGATAAGATCGATAAGATAGATAAGATAGATAATATCGATAAGATAGATAAGATAGATAAGATGGATAAGATGGATAAGATAGATAAGATAGATAAGATAGATAAGATAGATAAGATCGATAAGATCGATAAGATGGATAAGATGGATAGGATGGATAAGATAGATAAGATGGATAAGATGGATAAGATGGATAAGATAGATAAGATAGATAAGATCGATAAGATCGATAGGATCCATAAGATCGATAAGATGGATAAGATGGATAAGATAGATAAGATAGATAAGATAGATAAGATAGATAAGATCGATAAGATCGATAAGATCGATAAGATCGATAAGATGGATAAGATGGATAAGATAGATAAGATAGATAAGATAGATAAGATAGATAAGATCGATAAGATCGATAAGATGGATAAGATGGATAAGATAGATAAGATAGATAAGATCGATAAGATAGATAAGATAGATAAGATAGATAATATCGATAAGATAGATAAGATAGATAGGATAGATAAGATAGATAAGATAGATAAGACAGATAAGACAGATAAGACAGATAAGCCAGATAAGGCAGATAAGACAGATAAGACAAATAAGACAGATAAGACAGATAATACAGATAAGACAGATAAGACAGACAAGACAGACAGACAGACAGACAGACAGACAGACAGATAGATAGATAAGATAAGATAATATAAGATAGGATAAGATAGGATAGATAGGATAGATAGGATAGATAGGATAGATAGGATAGAAAGGATAGATAGGATAGATAGGATAGATAGGATAGATAGGATAGATAGATGGATAGATGGATAGATGGATAGATAGATGATCTATGGATAGATAGATGGATAGATAGATTAGGTAGATAAGATTAGGATAGATTAGATTAGGATAGATTAGATTAGGATAGATTAGATTAGGATAGATTAGATTAGGATAGATTAGATTAGGATAGATTAGATTAGGATAGATTAGATTAGGATATATTAGATTAGGATAGATTAGATTAGGATAGATTAGATTAGGATAGATTAGATTAGGATAGATTAGATTAGGATAGATTAGATTAGGATAGATTAGATTAGGATTAGATTAGAATAGATTAGATTATAGGATAGATTAGATTAGGATAGATTAGATTAGGATAGATTAGATTAGGATTAGATTAGATAGATTAGGATAGATTAGATTAGGATAGATTAGATAGATTAGATTAGGATAGATTAGATTAGGATAGATTATTAGATTAGGATAGATTAGATTAGGATAGATTAGATTAGGATAGATTAGATTAGGATAGATTAGATTAGGATAGATTAGATTAGGATTTAGGATAGATTAGATTAGGATAGATTAGATTAGGATAGAGATTAGGATAGATTAGATTAGGATAGATTAGATTAGGATAGATTAGATTAGGATAGATTAGATTAGATTAGATAGATTAGATTTAGAAGATTAAGGTTAGATTACATGATTAGATAAGATTTAGATAGATAAGATAGATAAGATTAGATAAGATGAGATCAGATTTAGATAAGATTAGATAAGATTAGATAAGATTATATAAGATTAGATAGATTAGATAGATTAGATAAGATTAGATAGATTCGATAAGATTAGATAGATTAGATAGATTAGATAGATTAGATAGATTAGATAGATTAGATAGATTAGATAGATTAGATAGATTAGATAGATTAGATAGATCAGATAGATTAGATAGATCAGATAGATCAGATAGATCAGATAGATCAGATAGATCAGATAGATCAGATAGATCAGATAGATCAGATAGATCAGATAGATCAGATAGATAGATAGATCAGATAGATCAGATAGATCAGATAGATCAGATAGATCAGATAGATCAGATAGATCAGATAGATCAGATAGATCAGATAGATAAGATAGATCAGATAGATCAGATAGATCAGATAGATCAGATAGATCAGATAGATCAGATAGATCAGATAGATTAGATAGATTAGATAGATTAGATAGATTAGATAGATTAGATAGATTAGATAGATTAGATAGATTAGATAGATTAGATAGATTAGATAGATTAGATAGATTAGATAGATTAGATAGATTAGATAGATTAGATAGATTAGATAGAGTAGATAGATTAGATAGATTAGATAGATTAGATAGATTAGATAGAGTAGATAGAGTAGATAGAGTAGATAGAGTAGATAGAGTAGATAGAGTAGATAGAATAGATAGACTAGATAGACTAGATAGAGTAGATAGATTAGATAGATTAGATAGATTAGATAGAGTAGACAGAGTAGATAGAGTAGATAGATTAGATAGATTAGATAGAATAGATAGAATAGATAGGATAGATAGGATAGATAGGATAGATAGGATAGATAGGATAGATAGGATAGATAGGATAGATAGGATAGATAGGATAGATAGGGATAGATAGGATAGATAGGATAGATAGGATGGATAGAATAGATAGAATAGATAGAATAGATAGAATAGATAAGATAAGAGAAGATGATAAAAGATAGAATAGATAAGATAAGAGAAGATAAGAAGAGATAAGAAAAGATAAGATAAGAGGGGAAGAAAAAGAAAAGATAAGATAAGATAAGATAAGATAAGATAAATAGATTGACTGATTAGAATAGAATAGAATAGATTAGATTACATTAGATAAGACTAGGTTAGATAAGATTAGATTAGAATAGACATATAGATAGATAGATAGATAGATGGATGGATGGATGGATGGATGGATGGATGGATGGATGGATAGATAGATAGATAGATAGATTATATCCCAATAAACAGGCTGCCGACAACCAGGCTGGTAAAAGCCCCTATTATAGGAGGACCCATATATTTAACTCCAGACCTATTCAAATTGTTACTTTCTGTTCATTCCAGTATACCCTAAACTCCTAAACCTAAAGAGATTAGACTCTGGTCAACTAACATAACTATGGAAAATCACCATTTTTAATAGGTAAATCAACTATAAATGGGCCATTTTCAATAGCTATTTTGACATAACCAGAGGGTAGACTCTCAGCCGAATATGGATCCAGATAATCAAGCTGCGCACCTCAGCCAGTTCGGCGAAGCTGCTGACACCTGTCACACCTGCATCCCAGTGGTAAGCCAGAACTGTACAGCCAGTATATCCATCAGCTCACAATATGCTCCATGGTTACCCACAGATGGGATGCACATCGCTTGATTTTGGAGATGCGATTTGCGGACTGCTACCTCTTTGCCAGTATTCGTTCAGAATGCTTATTGAAATTGAAAATTCAACCGTTTGCGTTCGGTTGAAAATCGTACATTGAATTCATCGACATCTATATCAAAAGATTGGCTTTCAACAAGACTACAACAAGAATACATATGTCTGTATATGTATATATGTAATATATATGTATGATTTGCAGTAGAGAAAATGTACAACCAGCACAGAACTTACATCTACATCCCGGATATCGTAGCATCCAGCCATCTATTTTCCATGCTGGACAATCCCAAGATTCATCACAAAACAAATGTGGGAATGGTTCGTTACTTTGTTTCCAACCTGGTGTACTTCAACTTGGAAGAATCTTGGAGACGGGTCAAGAACCAAAACACCCTCAACCCCCACACTTGGGTTGGCGAGCAGCCAAGTGGTACAAACCAAACACTAAAAAAGACAAACATTACATGTGCAGGTTCTATAAAGTGCATATATATATAATATATATATATATTATAATTATATGCACTACATTGTTACTGCATGTCATCATTCTATGATTTTCTCAATCACCATCTGAGCAATTTATAAAAACCCTTCACTACAGTTGCGAAAATCCGTTGGTGATTGGCAGGAACAGCACAACGCACAACTCTTGGAGGTTCCTCCAAAAATGGGAAATACCCCAGCAATTTGTGTCACTCCAAACTACAGTTTCTGAAATCCACAGACTTCCCCCAACCAAGCAGATCTGGATCTTTTTCCCCGCAGACCTATGGTGATTCCCCCAAATTTCTCCAAGCCTTCTGGCAAATTCTCTGCGGACTGGTGTGCAGATCGCAGGCAGCGCACAGTCTCCTCGGCCGCGATTCTTTGTGCCCATCAAACCTCAAAATGTGTTGTTGGGGCTGTTGTTGGGGACAACAAAATCCATCAAAATCCCATTCCAATTCTTCCCCCATCTGTTCACACGAAAAAACCACCGTGACTCCACCCTCTGCAAAAAAAATGCATCGCCCATCGCGTTGTCTCGTCCTCCAAGGTCTCCTTTGCCACACGTGCGCGGGTGACCAGCTCTTCGGAGTGGCCCACGGCCACCTGGCCCAAGCCATGGTTCAATGGATTGGTGGTGGAAATCTACAGGAAACCATGGGTTTTTGGCCCCAAATACAAGGAGATCCTGCGGATTTTCACACTAATTCTGGGATAATGGTGACTTCACCGGAGTTGAGATATGACCAACCAACTTCTGATAGCGGAACTGCACCCTCAAGTGGCCTGGTGAATATCAAAGTTGGCTGTTGTGGATCGTTTCATCACCGCGTCAAGGTGTTTTGTTTCCTCGATCATGGCTCTTGAACTCTTGATTTCGCAAGATTGGTTTAAGGGAACATCTACCGGAAACCATGGGTTTTCTCCATCAAACTGGGGTTTCCTGAAAATGTTCCCAAAAAACACAAACAACTGATGGCTGACCCTTAAACCCATGGTGCTGCGGAATATTCTCGCCTTGGCCATCATCTTCCCTCGAATGGCAGTCTCTGCGGCTTCTCCACCTAATCAAGTCAGGAGGTGACGCCACCAGTGGAATATTCACAACCAAAACAAAAGAGGAAGTTGATCGAAGTTGATATTCAAAAACAAGCTCTCTCTCTCTCTCACCATAATTTGAGCTTTCACCACCAAGAACAGAGGTCAAAACACAAACTATAATAGGCAAAAAAAAACGACCAACCGCTTCCAGCCTTTATCAAGGAGCTCCTGTCCGGCGCGGTAGGTGTTCACCCGCTCCTTGGTCACTTCGTATCCTTTCTGCGCCTGCTCCTGGCATCGAAGCTACGGAGGTTTTACAAAAGGATAGTGATATGATGTGTATCTGTATATGTGTGTGTATGTATACTATGTATGTATATTATGCATGTATATTGTGTATGTATATATATATATATTAATAATATATATATATGTTTCATTCAAGGTGTTTGGGTCTATTTTCAAGGTAGTTAGACCCCAAAAAACAAATCCCCCTATCACCCCTAAACCCTTATCAACCCCCAGCTCGCTGCTGGCGGCAGCCGCCGCCACCACCACCAGAAGCTCCTGGAGAAAGAGGACCGGCAGGGCGGCTTCGTGGGTCATGATGTTTGATTTTGATTACATAATTATATACTATAACTAAAATATATACATAATAACTATAATTATATCATGAGAATCCGATACTTTATTCATCAGCCACCACGGCCACCTCCGACCACAGGCTGGCCTTCACGTGGCGGCAGAAGAAGGGTGGTGGCGGCAGCAGCCGCAGTAGCAGCAGAAGCCGCTGCAACGGAGGGGGGGAACCTAGTGGAACATATTATATAATATATGGATATCTACTGGGTCCACTTACCTTAGAATTAGCCTCAGTTACCTCGAAAGTAACATATATGTATATATATATATGTATATATATATATGTATATATATATATATATAAAGACTCACCGGTTTCCCGCCTTTTTTGTGCACAGCAAGACCTGTTAGGTCAAAAAACCTCACAGAGGCAAATAAAATAATTACATCACCAAACTTGTTCTTCTCACAAAGAAGAATTCAGACTCCCATTCAACCAAACAGCCATTCATAAAATCAACATAGGCGTTCCCCCCATGCTTCCTCGCCTACCCGAGGTAAACATGAGCCAAAGAACGCGGGTAGTGCTGGGCCCCGCCAAACCGGGGAACAACCAGCCCGCCTACCCCAAACTCCGTATTTTCCTTGTTCTTTCTCTTTTGTCGTCTAGTGGAGTTTGTTCTCCCACTTCCCCCTGCCCTGCCATGTATGGCATGCTCAAGCTGAGGCAAGGGTAATGACTTTGTACGTAAAAATTGTTTGTGAAACATGCGTGCATGAGGGGCCAAGTTCAATTCAGTCTCGGCCAGGATAGCTAATCCACTATTTATATACAGACGTGCTGTTTTACTGGACTGCCACCTCCCTTGAAGGAGGAGCCTATCCAGCTGGCCGTGACGCTGAAAATAAAAAGTGGCTCCACCTCGCCTTAAGCTATAAGGTCTATACTGATACTGCTCCAAGCCCAGAGCTTCAACCGTAGTTTGAAACATCTTCCTCCATTTGTGTGGTGCATCACACAACTTGGTCCTGGACTAACCGCCTGTTTCCATTGCCACAAGCGCCGTAGCGTGTCGGCTTCAGTGATAGTCACACTTTCTGCGGCTCCTGTTCGTTGTCCGCCCTTGGTCAATCCCAGGGATATCACTGCAACAGAAGTGGAGCTAGCTTGCGAGACATCCTTGCCTTTAAGTTCAAGAAGCTCCCCAGTTCGAAGGAGCCCATGAAACCCTAGGAGAAGGGAGAGAGCAAAAGTCGCACGGCTGTGAAATAGTGCATGACCGACAAGGGTATGCAGCGCCTCCTCTGTGAGCGGAGGTGCCCGACAGGGGATTTCATGGGAAGCCCAAGTCTTTAACAGGCGCCAACTAATGACGAGATGTCCTTTCAAGTGAGGGTCTCGATCTTGTAGTCCCGCTACCGTGTCAGCGGCTAGGCTCCTCCCCTCTCCCTCAGTCCACATGTATTCAAGGTAGTCGGCAAGGATGTGGTCAATCTCGCAGCGCTGTTGCGGAAGTGTAACTCCATGATTGTTGGTCCAGCTCAGGAACTTTTGGACAGCTTTGTTGTAGCGATCTTTCGTTTTGGGCTGCACTGTCAACCCCTTAAGGGGACCCAGGTTGGCACGTATTGTTTTCCGCTCTGCCTTACTCCTCCCTTCCACATGTTGCTTTACTTTCTTCCCCATTTCCGTTTGATACGCCCCCTTGAAGGGGCATCAGCAGGGTTCAGGGCAGTGTGAACATATGTCCACACTGCCGTGTTTCGGGTGAGGAGGAGTAAGGCATTGATACGTGCTAGGGTTCTTCGCAGTTTCTTGCTGCTGGTGCGGCCCCTAGTGAGGGTATGGAGACACACTAGTGAGTCAGTTAGATGTATGATCCTCTGGTCTCTGACTCGTTGCTTGGTGGTACGATAACGCATGGCACATAGCACGGCCCTTAGTTCCAGCACATTGATGTGCTCCTTATGGCCTCTCCATTTCCATCCGCACACTGTGGACCACTTCCACAAATTTGCAGGAATACTGGCTCTGAGTCTGTGATACTTCAGTGTTTCTTCTGAAGCAGAATTCACCAGTATGTCCTCTCCTTTGATACTGACCAAGTTGAGCAGTTTCTTAACGAGGAGATCGCTACCTCCCTGAATGGGAGCTTTCCTCGGCCCGTTCATCGGCTGTCTGGTAAGGAAAGTGGCAAAATCCGTGTTGGCTCCTGGCGACGTCCGTTCGATGCAGTGCTGGACCGTCAGCTGAGGACTTACTCCCAGCCACGCTCCCAATTGACTGAGGAGCCATGTGATCACAGTGACGTTCCAGGAGTTGCCCAGCAGCGTCAACCTGAGGTCTTGGTGCTCCGTAGAACCTTGCTTGGACTTAGGCAGGCAGTTGACTGTGTAATGCCTGGGAAAGCCAAGAATCACCTCGCGCTCTTCGGCATTGACCAAGCGGTGCACATCCCCTCTCCCGACCTGATGGCAGGTCTGTTATTGGTAAGGAGGGAACCTGAACTTGTCCTCCTCCCACTGTGTTTTTTCTGCCGCCGTCAACATGTCCAGCCCCGCCGGCCTTCTCCCTGGATGCTGTCGTGGCCGTGAGGTGGTAAACGTGGGGAGAGGTTGCTCACCTAGCCTTCTCCAACCTGGCACTAGGTACTTGTCAGATTCCACCTTACCTTCCAGCTTCACCTTTCCCATGGACTCCCATTTGTCATCAGGAGGGATCTCGATGGTCACACCCTCCCCTGTCTGCAACGCCCACGTGATCCAGTACAGCCTTGGTCGCCTGGCCAGGCTGACCCCGCTGGCATCAATCGCCCAGCTTTGGGTTCCAAAGGACTCACTCATAACCATCCGATCCTCGACATCCATTGATTGTACTGACTCAGCAAGGGAGTGCACTTGTGCCCAAGGAAAAGCCACCCGCACAAGATCACGGATTCGGGCCACATGTACGTACAACTTGCTACGGTAGTCCTTAAGCGCTCCCCTACGATCAGCGTTTAATCCGCTGACTCCTTGGCAAGGAGGCCCTGCACCCAAGATCACTAACCCGACCTGGGAAAATTGGCATGCCCATTGTCGCACCATGTCCAAGTCAACACTTTCCACATTTGAGACAAATTGAGTGGCCGGAAACTTGGATTCCAAAACCCTGGAGGCTGAGGCATCCATCTCCACACTAACATGTCCAGCCATTGGCAGACCAGCAGCATCTGCTGCCACTCTGAGAGCCCCGATCCCGTCAAAGAGACCTATAGTGAGTGCTTGGGTCATCTCACCAAGTTCAGGGACGTCTCCCCTCGAGGGGCACAAGGTGGCTATCCGACCCAGATTTGTCAGTCCCCTGCTGACAGTGACACCTCCCCCAGTCGTGGAGGCATCACTTGCAGTCACTTGGGGGTTGGGTAGCGCTCGGAAGTTGATACGTGCCAACGGCAGTAGTGCGATAAACCGACTGATCTCCAGTTCCACCAAGTAGGGGATCTCCAGGCGTATCACCGGTGGGTATTTGTTAAATTCTTCGATAAACGCCCAGATGTGATTCAGGCCATTAGGGCCCTACGGAAAGTGGCAATGTACACGAGGCCCCCAGCCACTACCTGCATCTGTTTTTGACTACACTTCCCTTGGTCTAGCATGAGTAGCGCCAGTTGGGTATACTTTAGGATCTTGTCAGGTTTGGGGTATGCACACCCCTTGTCACCATCCACCATAGCCCCTTGTACCTCGGCCCTCAAGGAACGTTGCACGGCCTTTTTGGGATGCCTAGGAATACCCCAAGCCTCATACTCAGCTCTAAGGGCTAGAATAGAGGGGCTTGGAGAACCTTTCAGGAGCGCTGCCAAACTCCCGTCCATGCGTTCCAACTCATCAAAGTTGTCCAAATATATTCGATGCATCAGATCAGTGTTGGGGAAAGGACGATCCTTCCTCAGCTCTTGGCAATCCAGGAGGCGATTGCTCGTCCTCCCCTTGGCACTTCTCACCACGGAACGGTGGACTGCCTGTGCCAGACTGACTGAATTCCTGAACCCCATGGGCAAGACTCGAGACACCAAAAAATGGCGCTCGGTCTGCCCCGGATGCAGATGGGTCGGTACAGCCTTGTTGAAACCGAGAAACTTTTGCCATGCAGCGGGAACTTTAAAAATGTAGAAGAAACACCTCACATCTTCTGACCCAATGAGCAACTGTTGAGTGGGCATCAACATTAACGGCCCAGCTGAGGACCATGCTGGCAACGTTGATACGTCTCCTTGGATTGGCCGGCAAATGTTGTTCAGAGGAATCAAATTCATGATTAGCCTATGCAACTCTATCCCTCCTGCTCTGTCTCCCTTGGGCACTCCGAAGAGGCCATTTAGGAGAGGCCTCCCCTTCACATGGAACAACTCGCTCTCCGGGAGAAGGCCACAGATACCCGATGACAGGAGACCTCGACAGACGCCCTCCCATTGGTCATCAGCTACCATGACCCTCGGAGGCTTGGTGTATTCCATGGATTCAGGAGGGACTAGGTAGTCCTCGAAATGTGTGACGTAGTGTCTGCAACCCCCTTCCAATACCGAAGACAGCTCCACCCCTCCTACTTCTGCAGGTATAGCTGGACTAAGGTTGGACCAAGAAGTAGTTTTTGCCACCGACACTTCATCACCAACATAGTCTACACTGCGACTACTAAAAAAGGATTCCCAAGTAGACAAGCTAAACGTCTCTTCCCATGTTGAAACCTCTGCTAAATCTCCGCACAGCCCTTCCAGGAACTCAAGCTGCAAAGGAGTTACTCTGGCCCCTGACTCTAAGTCAACTCCCGCGTAACTATTGAGACCCAAGCAAAGAGACCGCAGCATAACCACATCAACCCTGGCCAGACGTTCCTGCCCCCTTAAAATGTCAGTGCTGGTGGGTAACAGGAATACGTCACCCGTGGGCTTGGCCTCGCTGTGCTTCTTTTTCAATTTTGAAGAAGATTTAATCAGCAGTGACTGAACTAAGGGCAAACAGGAACCCCAGGGTAAACCAACAAGTTTCTCAACTCGACCACACTCCCTGACTTCACTCGGATCCTTCATCTTCTTTTTCTCACCACTGCGATCGAAGGTCTGCGGGGCATCGTCCAAGTGACTATCTGCAAAGTCACCTAAGCATCGGTTGGATGACGCCGAGGGACTACCAGCGAACTGGCTGTCCGGAGCTTCGCCACTAGGTGAAACATGAAACTGTGGAAAAACGCCTGCGCCATCTGACCTCTCTCCGGCGCCATGCCCCATAAGACCTATAGGCGGTTTCCACACAGAACCGTGTCCACGCACCCAGGGTCCACATTCAGGGCTGTCAGGAGGGCGATCTTCGCGCACTCCCGTACTGCACCTGGCCCGGTCCTGTCCAAGGACAGTGTCCCGGCCGTGGGCAGTCTTCCCCTGGTTTAAACTAAGGCCACAGGGGGCTCCTCGCACCTCTTCATAGCTTCTTTGTGGCTCTCCTCCCAAACCTAGGAGGGGGCCCTCATATTCGTCTTCAGCCTCAGCTCCCAAATCTAGGAGCTCTTCTTTCCTTCCTCTTTTTCGCTCCTCTTGCCTTTCCCTTTGTCGCGCCCTTTCCGTATCGCCACGGGGCCCCTGCCCCTGAACTCTCGCTCTTTCCCTTTTCTTTTCCTTTTCTTTTCCTTTTGCTAACGCTCTCGTCTTCTGCTCCTCCTTGTCTTCCTTGGCCGCAGCCTGTGTTTCTGCGCGGCTTGTCAGTTGTCCCCGTTCTGGCGGGACCACTTCGACCCTCTGACTGACTTGCCAACTCCCTCCATTGGCTGTCAGCTGCAAACTCTTCAGCCTCTGCGCCAAGCAGTCGACCGTGTTGGCAACTTTCCCCTGAAGCGCCAGGTCTAAGCTCCAGCACAAGGTCAGAGCTTCTCGGCTGGCCCCCCCTGAAAGGAGGGGGGCCAGATGGTTGCGGTAATATTGCAGCGCCACCGCAGGCACCTCCCCTTTCTCCTGGTCCCAAACTGTGCCTGCTGCCGTCAGGAGTTGACTCTGCATCTCCCTGATAGTAACTCCTGGAGCTCGGCGGGCCACCACCCGCACTTTGTGGGTGTCCCCGAAGATCCCCTCGTCCTCGGAGCTGCCCTGGTCGCTGCTCTCCCCGCTCCCATCGATGGAGCTTGAATCGCCGCTGGTGCTCTCCTCCTTCTTCCTCTTCAACTTCTTCTTCAATGCTTTCACCAGTTTCCTCCTCACTTTGTAATCGGGGTCCAGGCCAGTTGACCCGAAGACATCCTTCGGCTCCTTTCGTGAGTTGACCCTCTTTCTGCTCGATCTCACCTTCTTTCGGCTGGATCCTCCGGTGCTTGAGGATCTTTTCTTCTTCTCCTTTTTCTTTTTCTTTGTTTTCTTGTCGTCTCTTTTCTGGTCTGCTCTCTCTTTCCCCTTCGCTTCCTTCTCTTGCAATGCCATTGCTTCTCTCCTCAGCTCTGCATTCTCGTCTCTTCCTTCTCGCAGGTTCTCTGACCAGCCTCCCTCGTCGCTCCTCTGTTTCTGTCGGATTTTTGTGGCGTGTACTAGACCTTCTGCGTCCACCTTGTTGGGGCAAGTTGAGCCGCACAGATGGACCCGCACTGGCACCGTGGGGTGCCCGGTGATCCACTTCAGGAGGGACTCGCTTTCCGTCCCCTCCCCTGTCAGTTGCAACTCTACATCGCCCACGTGGCGCACTTGGAGGCCCTGCACTGTGCCGCAAAGACGACATCCTTCTTGTCGGTACTCCCCAACGACGACGACAGGAGTACCTTGCACCAATCTTCCCAAAGGAGCCAAATTGGCTTCCACCTCTTCTCCGTTCACAAACTTTTCTTCTGCTTCGCCCTTCTGACTCTGCTCACCTGCGCCTCGACTCGCCGGTCTACGCAGAGCTGCTCCCACCCTAGGAGCCCGTCTGCCAGCTGGCCCTGCCGCCGCTGGCCTCCTCAATGCCATTAACCTTGAGCTCGGTCCTCTCGCCAAGCCCGCTGCCTCTCTCGCTTCTTTCTGCCTTTGTTGAGCGCCCTCTTACGCTGGGGATCGGCCCTGGGCTCCGCTTCTCCGATCGGACGCCTCACCGTCAAGATAGGACCCTCCCACCTTCTAGGAGGATGCTCTGGTTCTCGGGGTCTGCCTCTGCCCCTGTCTCTATCTTCCAGTCTCGGACTCCTTGCCCTGCTGACGGGCCTCTTGTCAATGAAAGCTTCTCTGCTTCCACGTGCAGACTCTTCTCCTGACCTATCTTTGCTTCCCGGACGTTCTTTCCTTTCTTTTCTTCCTGGGCTTTCTCCTCTCTCTGTCTTACTATCTCGGGCTTTACTCCTCTTTCCCTCAGCTTTCTCCTTCTTCTTTTCTTTCTTGGGCTTTTGAAGCGATCTGGATCTCTCAGCCTCCTCTCTAGCTCCCCGGGCGCTCGAGGAAGGTGCCTCAGCAACCTCGGCTGGGGCGCTTGGTGCGCTCGCCGCCGCCTCCCTCTTCACCGCAATGCCCTCCGTACGAGGAGGAGGTGGGGGAGGCACTGGTAACCCTCCCGTAGTAGGAGGGCCCACAGGAGCACAAAGCCTGTCCCTGGCCCGCTGTTGAGCTTGCTCTTCTTGGAGCAGGGAGGTCCACTGCCTGGCCTGGCTGACCCCCCAGGATCGCAGTACAGGCTGAAGTGCTCTGAACTCCCCCACCAGCCGGGAGACACACCGGCACAAAGCGCAGACTCCGTCCACTCCAGGAAAGGGGCAGTTGCACAATCTGCAACCACTCATGAGCTGAAGCCGAAACTACCGAAAAAAGGGGATGATCAACCTATTCGTCTTTACATCCGGGGTCGTTCATTCATATAGCAATATAGCAATATAGCAAATATGTGTATATATATATATATGTTATAAATCATACAAAAAGCAATATAATGTATAGTTTGACCCCAAAACTAATCGTTAACCACGAACCATTTACATCACCATGTCTTCTTCAATCATTCAGCAACAAACTATCACAAACTCCCATTCAAAATACTGTCAACCCTGGATTAATAAACCCCTAGGCTGTTTAATTGGGAGGGTACCATTGAAGTATCAGATGATGATTATTGGAGGAGTATCCCCCTAGTAAAAATATGTAAAAATAAACCGACCATGGTTTATTAATCAATCCGGGGTTTATTAATCCATATTAATCCTATACTCCCAACAAAACAGGGGTCAACCATGGTCCAGTCCAACTGAGCTCAGGGGGCCCCAGCCCACACTTTTGTTGGGCCCTGCCGCAATGACCGCAGCGCGGCGCTGCGCCACAGGCACCCGCCGCACGGGGCGCAGCGCAATCGGTGCCCGCGCCGGGCTGCGGCGCCGGGCCAAGGCCTGAAATTTGCTGTAAATGATACCCATATGCTCCATGTATGGAATATGAATCCCTACATTTACCCCAAACCAAATGTAGATAAATATTCCATACATGGAGCATCTAGGATATGATTTATCATGATCTTATCATGATTTCATCTATATTGCATATGGATTTGAACTTAAACTGTTGGGAATTGCCCAAGAAAGATGGGGACTTGACGGGTAATGCGGGAAATCAAATCAACCAGACTGTCAAACATGGTGATTTTTCCCCCATGATGTGAAAGGATACAAAAGGATCAAACAAAGACTCCAAAGTGGAACAGCAGCAAATCCAGGAAACCGCCTCTGATCGCTGATGATTTGCAAGTGCTGTGCCTCAGCAACAGCAGCACGGTGCCACGAGAAAATGAGTGCTGCAGTTGTGTTTTCTCAAAGGATCCTCACAAATTCCAGTTGTGTTTTCCATTGCTCAGTGACACACTTTTTGTGTGGATGGATAGGATGGACCTAGACATGGGCGGAATTCAAGGATCCCATGGGCGCATGAGCCATTGACAATATTGCGGAGTTTGGTGAATGGACGGGATTCCTCCACTGGTTATATGCATCCGTACTAACCACTCATCCCCTACTAACCAGTGATCTCAGCGATCTCCATTCTTTCAATCATCAGAATCATCAGTGATCTCTTCGGTTGCTCAATTTGTTCAACCAAAAAAAAAACTCATCCCCAAACTTACAGATTTCCTCCACAGGACCGTGTCACCATGTCGCGTCTCGTCAAGTTACCATTGCTTCGGTCATCGCGAAGGCGACGTCGTCTCTTGGGTGGAGGAGCTGGTCCTCGACAGGTACCATACTGGGTGGTTACTAGGTACGAGTATCCGGTATCCCTGTGAAAAGGCCCACCTCATTTTGCCCAACATCATTCTTAGGTTTAGAAGCTTTTAGGTTTCAAGAATAAGGGTAATAAGATTTTGGGGTTTAGGCCTTTGTAGAGTTTAGGCTTTGTCTTTGATCTTTCCACAGTTTTGAGGGTTTGTCTTTGAAGGGTTTTGGATTTTGGATCTATGGTTTTCGGGTCCCCCTGAGTTACTATGCCTGTCGCTGCGGCGCACCTGCCACTGGCAGCACACCAATGGGCAGCAGCCCCTTCCGACGCTTCCGCCCACGTGGAGCCGTGACTCCTGGCCAAGTGGAGTTGCGAAGACAGACATAGGTCGAAATTGGCACTCCAAAAAACCGTTGATTCTATCCCTATGGATCCAAGTACCTTCTTAGGAAATATTGGGGGGTATGATTTAGAGGGGTAAGTACCTTCTCAGATAGTGTTTGGATCCATTGGGTATATATAAATGTTTTTTTTAAAAAAAAAGTAATCTATGGTCAGTGCCGGAATTATAGAACGGAAGTTGAGGAGGACGAAGGTACGGTTATTTACCGTACCCTGTTGTTCTATAATTATGTTTTCCTCGGAAGGTATGAAAAAAAATGTATCTGATCTTCCTCCTAATTTTTTTCGTCGTTCTATAATTCTTGTCGGAGCGCTGTTGTTCTATAATTCTGTTTTCCCCCATTTTTCTCACATTTCCCATTTTCGTTCTATAATTAATGTTTCCCGGGCCCCGTTCTATAATTAATTTTTCCGTCGAACGGAAAAATTAATTATAGAACGGAAAAATTAATTATAGAATTATAGAACCTCTTCCGGGGTCCCAGAAAGAGCTGAGCAAACTGCCTTTTTTCCATCCCCCTCAAGACTTGTATTGTAAACACCAAAGTTCGGTTATTTACCGTACCCTGTTGTTCTATAATTCTGTTTTCCTCGGAAGGTATGAAAAAAACATGTATCTGATCTTCCTCCTAATTTTTTTCGTCGTTCTATAATTCTTGTCGGAGCGCTGTTGTTCTATAATTCTGTTTTCCCCCATTTTTCTCACATTTCCCATTTTCGTTCTATATTTAATTTTTCCCGGGCCCCGTTCTATAATTATTTTTTCCTCATTAAATCTGCATTCTATCCTCATTTCCTCATCAAATCCCCATTAAATCCTCATTTTATCCGCGTTTTATTATCATTTCCTCATCAAATCCTCATTTTATCTTCATTTTATCTTCATTTTATCCTCATTTTCTCATCCAATCCTCATTAAATCCTGATTAAATCCTCATTTTATGTTCGTTTTATCTTTATTTTATCATCATTTCCTCATCAAATCCTCATTTTATCTTCATTTTATCCTCATTTTATCCTCATTTTATCATCGTTTCCTCATCAAATCTTCTTTTTATCTGCATTTTATCTTCATTTCCTCATCAAATCCTCATTAAATCCTCATTAAATCTTCATTTTATAGATTGTATATGTACAAATATGCAGTAAATATCATGTCAGTGCCAGAAATTATAGAACGGAGCCAGGAGGACAAAAGTACGGTAAAATACCGTACCTTTGTCCTCCTCCCCGTTCTATAATTAAATTTCCCGACTCCGCTCCGAATCGGAACCCGGAGGAGGACAAAGGTACGGTATTTTACCGTACTTTTGTCCTCCTGGCTCCGTTCTATAATTCTGGCACTGACTGTAAAGCTAACCATCAATCTAGATACACTCCAGGAAGTTGGCATATATAGCCATGGAAAATGATCATATATATATATATTACAATAATAATGTATATAATATAATAGTATAATGTACGTATATAATATAATATATATATAATAAAATATATATAATATAATATAATCTAATATAATATAATATATATAATATAATATATATAATATAATATAATATAATATAATATATATAATATAATATAATATTTTTTTAAAAAATATATATATATATATAATATATTATATATATTAACAATAAAATAATAATATAATATAATATAATATAATATAATATGATATAATATAATATAATATAATAAATATATAATATAATTTAATTTAATATAATATAATATAATTTAATTTAATATAATATAATATAATTTAATATAATATAATATAATATGACAATATTATATATAAGATATAATATATATAATATAATATATATATATATAATATATATAGATGATCTTGCTATATTTACTGATTCAACATGGTGATGAGGGTAGCTAATTGCGGGCTGCTGGGTCTTCAATCTTGTCAGGTCTACTCCGGCTACGGATCCAATGGTTGGATGATGAATATTGATCAATATTAATTTTGATAATAAGTGATTTCTATAGTGATTAATTGATTAATAGTGATTAATATTGACTAACATTTAGATCAATATCGATTAAAATATTCAATATTCAATATTAAAATATTCAAGATTCACCAATATATCGATTGGTGATTAAATATTGATATTAATCACCAATACTAGTAATATTAGATCAATGTTGATCAATATTGACTAATATTACTAGTATTGCTGAGTAACTTCACCATCTTCACCAAGTACTGAACACCAAGGATCCAATTCTGCAAGTGCACCTTGGTACATAAAATTCTTGGGGCTTCCATCATTTTGGGTGTACCCTATCCATTTATGGATGGATTTCCATTATAAATCAATGGAAACCTCCATATATCTGGGCAATGTTGGGTTGGGATGATGCCCCAACCATGAAAACCCATGGATTCCAGGGCTCGGGAGAACATGGTTCGGTCGTTATAATATGTTATAATTTTCCTAGATTATTAATGACTTTAGATTACTCCCCCCCAAAAAAAAACACCAGTCGATCCGTGAGGGTTGTTGCGGCCTGAAGCTTTCGGCCTCGGCCTCGCTCGCCGACCAGGCCCTTTGGCCTGGTAATTTTCGTGGAGGATTTACTTTTCGATTTGGGGATGACTATAGCAACCACCCAAAAGAGATAGAAAGTTGTGCTTTATCACTTTTTTTGTTGGAATTCACTGTTTTTTTTGGGGGTGTGGGGGGTTACTATAGAGGAAATCAATGAGAATTGCAGGTGGAATATCGTGGAAAATGATGTTTCTTCAGTGGGAGGCACGGTCATGGAGTCATTTGCAAACTTTGTGGTCCAATTTCAGGGTACCTGCAGCAGCCATGATCTATTTGAGATCAGCCACTGCTTAATATATATATATAATTATATATATATAATTATATATATATATATATAATTATATATAATTATAGATATTGTGGAATATAAACCAACATATTTTGTTGGAATATCAATATCTTATAAAGATATCTAAAGTGACCAACACAAACCACTGTTTGTGCATGGTTAATATATATAATATAATATATTGTATGATTCACAATTCACAGATACATAAATATGTCATAGAAATCCTTCACAGACGGCAAAGCAAAAACAGCCGCCCAAAACAAGTCAGCCACTTGTCTGCCAACAGATTTCCGTCTTTTTTGCTTAAGAAAACATTTACAGGAAAGACAAGACCTTCCTGTGAATTTTCCCTTCACTTCCCCGTCAAGCCATGATGAAAACCGCCTGGGCGAGCGGTCTCGCTGGCGGTTGTGGCGATGGCGAGGAGCTGGGAGTGCCTATGGCAAGGTTCAGTTGTTGAAGCCTGATTTGAAAAACGGTTTGTTCCGAAAAAATGTGAATCTTGAGGAGAAATTGATGATCCATCCTGATTTTTTTGGGCCATATTTTCAGACAAATACCATATCAAAAATTGGGTATTGGAATAAGTTGACATGCCATATGATGGGTGTGAAAACAGTCTGTTTATTGTCCTTGTTGCTGATCATAATGATGATGCTGCTGCTGATGATGAAGCCACTGACATATTGGGCGTGAGCCGAAAGCTTATTGCCCTGGTGAACACAAAACTAGCTGCTAAATTGCTAAATGGATGTTCACTCTCAAATACGGTACAATAGCTGGTTGGTGGTTTCAACCCCTCTGAAAAATATGAAAGTCAGTTGTGATTATTATTCCCAAACTATGGGAAAATAAAATTCATGTTCCAAACCACCAACCAGATAGGTTTTGATCCAGCCCCACATGAAGATGATGAACATGATGTGCACCCAAATCGTTCGTGAGCCAAGGCACGCGTCTGCGGAACAGGCGCGCCCTTTTCCCACGTTCCATCCGGAAAGAGAAGCACCTCCAGCGAGGCTTCGTGCACAAACAGGAAATGGTGGCTGGAAAATCCCCAAACTCACTTGGAGGCTAGCTGGGAAAATCAACTAAATGATGGATTTCCTTGGGCCTCTTATGATATTTCCCTATGAACCCCCTATGAAGCAACGGCGGATAGCGCAGGTTTGCAGGTCGATCGACACAGCCCAAGAAAAGCTTCAAGCTCGACGTCGCGGTAATCACAGATGGAGGTGATCTTTGGAGGTCGCACACGCTGTGATGGATACAGAACATCAGAACATCCCAACAGTAAGGCGATGTAAATGATATGAACATGTTTTTTGCTGGGATATATATATATATACATATCATAAATATATATATATATGTGATATGTATGATAATATTTATTTATGTATGATATGTATTGATATGTACCATCGTGATGATTGTTGATCCACTTTTGAAATAGGCCCTAGGGCCCTATTTCACTCTTCTGAACTGGAGCGGCCGTCTTGGTGGCCTCTTCCACTTCTGGTTCTGTCTCCTTCAGCAACATCTGAACAAAGCTATCGATCCTCAAATCCTTCGGCCTGTGTCGAGTGACCCATCCGGGCAGTGAAACGAAAAAGCTGCCGACTCAAGCTACAGCAATAGATACATCCAATAGAATCATATAGAATCTAGTAAAAGCTATATACAGTAATATAATGCAATATGTACATATATATATATATATATAGATAGATAGATATATCCAGCAAAAACGAAGCAAAAGATGAAAGAATTCCGCCACTGAACCAAGAAAACTAAACCAATATTTCTGGCCTCAGGTCAAGGCTACAAAGGGGGCAGCGCCAGCGGCTGTTGAAAGCTTTCATTCCTCGTTACCCACGGTTGCGTCATCCCTAAAAATTGCGGATTGAGAACGGGATTCAAAAAGTTCATGGATGTTCATGGATTATGAAAGGTAGATAGATAATGATAGATATCAGTAGATATCAGGTAGATATCAGTAGATATCATGGATTATGAGAATCCCCAATATAGGTAGATATCGGTCGTACGACGCCTCCTTTCTTTCATGAACCCTCCAGGCGGATTTGTCTATCGAGGTCGAGTCGTGGAGGTATCCGCAGTCACCCACAGTTATCAAACGTGGCAATTGACAATCAATTAATGGAATATCTTGGGGATATAATGGGGATATTCCTGGGGATAGCTATAAAAATGGAAAATCCAGAAAGTGGATTATGAGAATCCCCAATTTACAGTTGGTTTTCCCATTAAACCGTCACAAACCTTCCAGGGGATTTCCAGTTGCTATGTTTGATTACCGGAGGGTAGACCATGTTCCTATTTAAAGCCATGGTGACCACTGGGGATCACCATGACTTCCATGGCTGCCCAGCCATTCTCCATCTTGGGATCGTTC